AGTTATTATAATTTATTTATTGTTTGGTTATAATGTAACTTATATGACATATGTAATTTTAATTGATAACTTTTAATTTTTCTTAACGTGTTATCATGATTTTATAACAATTTATTTAGAAAAACTTGTTTTATCATTAAGCATTTGAAAAATTATGCAAAAATATATGTACCATTTGTAAGTTAGTGCATTCAGGAAGTTTGCATTTAAATAAGAAAAAAGTTTATATTTGCTTACTTCTGTATTATTGCAGTGTGATAACATATCAGTGATAAAATCTGCTGGAAAATTTTGTTATACGCATTTTACATGATAACAAATTCTGAACTTTCTAGAATGTATTAATTGATGGATGTTTTCACTACAATTGTTACTATTCAAAATATATAACATATTGCAATTAAAAATTAGGTGTAATTATTTATAATTAGATATAAACCGAGATTGTTTTACCATTTCATTTCCATATACCGAATAAATTGCGTACGTGACCATCTCGATTATTTTCGTTGTTAGTGAACCGATCAAAATTTCCTCTATCGCAGATAATACCGATTCAGAAGGATCTTTAAAGTATTAATGATAATTAATGGTCTTTCTGAACTGTTTCATCTATGGTACGAGAAATGTTAACTAGTCTAAGAACGGCCGAAATAATGAAGGTGGTCACATTATGCCATTCAGTCTGTCATACCTGATATATTTTTTAATACATCTGGAAATATTACTAACTAACTATAGAGACCTTATAAAAGCTACCCGAAGTTAATTTAATACGATTAACCATAGTTTGAAATGTAATTACATAAATTTTCCATAGTTTTAACGTTCGACAAATTGAAATGCCTTTTGTGTTACATTGAAGTGTTGTAGCAGGTTATTCTTTGAAGAAACTGTAAGGCATGTGAACTTAGTAACTGAATACATTTCAGTGGAAACGAAGCATGTGCACTTTTCTGTATTAATAGCCTGAATTCATTCTTTTGTACAGTGTAGTAACTTCCTTTCGTCCTTGCTTGAAATTAACCTGCAGCTGCTAGTGTTTACTTCGAGTAAATAGTGTCACAAAATAGTATCAATATTTTAGAAGCTTATCGACGTCTAAAATAATTTTTTTAATCGAAGTTCTAATAAGTTGATGATTTTGCGAATACTTTTAAATATCGTTTCAATGTTTTAGAGATAATTATTTTCAAATTCCGAAACAATTTATTACACGATATAGATACATATTAGTCATATGTATATCATATTAGTCATATGTATGACATATTAGTCATAGTGATAAAGATTATTCGATGTATTTGTTCCTAGATTTTATTTTATTATCGCAATTTCTGAGAATTTCTCTCGTGATTTCGTCACGTCTGTACATACAATTTATGCGATCTTTGTAAAGTATAATAGAAACGTGTCGTGAAATGTCGTGAAATTATAAGATAAATCATTTCTTTGAAGAAAAATAAAAGTATTACGACAAGAGATTAAGAAAACCTGATATCTCGTGATAAAATGTTGTCCTCACGCTCTTGATAAAACTAATTGCATAGTTAAAGGAATCCTTTTGCAGAAGAACATGAATCTACACCTGAAACACTCTAATAATTTTCGTTTTAAGACTACAAACATTTCGTTAGTGGAACCCCTTTCGGATGTATTAAAAATCTGTCATTATTTGTTAAGAAGTGAATACTAGTGACGTAACGTTATTGTTTACTTTTATTCGTATGTGTAATTGTCGGTAAAGGAAGGTGAGGCGAAATCCTTCGTCGCCACAGCGTCCAAGCTGGCCGCCGTGGAAGATGCGGCTCCAAAGGGGCCCGAGGCTTCGATTCGATCGAAAGCCACCGCTCTTAAAGTCTCGCCCACGGCAAGGGCTACCCTTCAGGCCCTTCGATCACCCAGAAACAGAGTATCAAGCCCTCTTACTCCTTCTCCAACGACAACTAAGGACGCTGAAACGATCACTGGTGAGTTACGTGTATTTGAATTCTTATCTGATTTTTCCACGTTTTTCTCCTTTTTATTGTTGTTGTTATTGTTTCCTGTATTTCTAATTTTTTTCTTTTTTTTTTCGACGACAATTTAATGCTTTCATCGTTACTTTTTATCAGCATTTTTATATCTTACTCTCTGCAAGCTCTGCCTGTTTAAACGATATTTGTGTTTCATACGATTATCACTGCTACATTGCACAAGTCATCTGAATATTTGCGTTTGAAAATATCACATCTTTCACGGACATTGAAATAATTTTTAAATTTAAACGTAGAATCGTGAGCCAACGTTGCGTTAGAATTATCCGAAGGAAATTCGTATCAAACACAGCGAACATTTTTCTGTTTCAAATATTTCCGCGAACGAGCATTGATGCTTGAAATCTGTTATCGCAAGGTTTTACAGAATTTAAAACATTTTCGGTAAACTTTCACTACAATCTACATGCAAACTGTCACAATCGAACGCGTTACAATTATACGTTCGGTGCAGCAATTTAAAATTATTCAAATCACATTCCACGGTGTTAGTGTTAAAGCGTTTCGGCAGAGTTTAAGTGTCAGAAATGATTTTTAATAACTCACCTGTCTGTCTCTCCAGCTACGAACAATCACAACTATATTTTCACAAATTACGAAGAACCACAAACCGTATATATTTTATTTATGTACATGTATACAAATAAAAATGCACGTGATTTAATCAAGTAAATTCGTGGATCGTTTTACAAACAAATTTTTCGCGAATTTTAACACATTTAACAATTCAACGAAACTACTGAATCCGTTCGAAGTACAAAAATACAATGTTTAAATAAAAGTTCTCGGGTACGATTTACACATTAAAGGAGTGTTCTAATCGTCGTGAACTCAAAGATGGAACTATCCTCTCTGTTCTCGAGGACGAGTATTTTATGGTGGTCCGTAAACCTCCATGGCAAACGACATTCACCGCTGGCAAATGATCATTACTTCCCTCAGTCATCATCATCATTATCGTTAGGATCATCATCATTATCATCATCATCATCATCATCATCATCATCATCATCATCATCATCATCATCGTCGTCGTCGTCGTCGGCGTCGTCGTCGTCGTCGTCGTCGTCGTCGTCGTCGTCGTCGTTGTCTTCGTCATCATAATCATTTTTGTTGTAATTCTCATCATCGGGCTAACATGAGCGAAAAATTTCTTTCGTTTAAAAAAAACCGAAGTGGAAAATATAACGAAGCCTTTTGTTTAAATATCTTCTCGAAAAAGTAGCCTCTTTCGACAACATTTACATCACGAACTGTGTTCACGATTGTCGGTATATAATTTATTTGGAACATTTCAATTCGTACCATTTATGTAAACTATTTGAATTTTCTAAGGTAGGTACGTCGTTTGAAATCAGCTGACGGGGTAATTTTACGATTCTGATGGTGATGCCGAAATAACTAACGCACATTGTTGCGTGGCACTAAAAATAACCGACCTATAAAGGGTCGGTCATTTCATTCTCTCCTAACGTACTGTCTATTTGTTCGTTACTGTTGTTACACGAATTAACCAGATAATTTGAATAATTCTTAATTAAATTCGATCGAAAATAGATATTCGTAATCGCTGGATTTGCTTTAAAAAAAATATTTTCATGTTCTTTTTACATCGAGCAAAAACAAGGAATTATTTCAGTCTCGAGTTCTTATGAAAAAGTCAAATATTTTTAGGTTTAAGAACACCATGATTCGAAAAGATGTTTGCGAATTTCACGTGCGTCATCCTTCGGATGTTTAAAAATTCACGGATGACCTGTTTTACAAATATTTTCGTCATAAATTGTGGTTTCGGAGCCTTCAGTCGTTGATTGAATAAAATTAGCGGTAAGGTGAAACCAATGGAGGAAAGAATCGCAAGGAAAATTTGTGGAAATCGATCTTTTTTTCATCAATCTATTCAGGGTTCATAAAGAAACAAGATTGGCGACGAGCCAATAGATTCGTGCTATTTTGTTCTGTCTCTCTGAGTATTAAGTTCTAACTCGACCCGCGAATCCGTGTGATCGTTTCCTTCACTCTTCAGAATTCTACTTTCACGAATTTGTCTCTCTATGATTATTTAACACCTATTTCTTGACTTTCTGACTTTCGACGAAAATTTAAACACCGTTTTCTGCAAAAACGAAGAGTGCTCGGTGAAATTTTCGTTAACAATATACCGTAACGTGATACAAAAGACGTGCTATTGTTTCAAATGCAACATTAGTATTTTCATCTGAATATCCGTCACGTTGCATTAATAATGAAAAGTCAGTGATGTTAATATTGTAGACGTACTCATCCATTTTCTTTTTTCCATAGTAAAAAATAAAACTTCGCACTTCTCGTGTGTTATGGAAGTAGTACATATTGAATAATTGCACAATTCTCTATTGTACTATTCGTTAAGTATCAAGAAAAAGAAGACAAAAATCGGTGCAATTGGTTGTGCATTTTAAAGAATAGAAAATCTTCATGCGTACTAAAAATAAATAGGAGTGCATATGTAAATGTGTGTTAAAAAGTTTCAAGTATAATTCAATACTCGAGTGATTGTATTCCACGAATACGGAAGTGTTTTTACGAAAACAATTATTTGATATGAGTATCGTGAAATGAAGGATTATGTACCTCGGTAGTGGTGAATCTAGTCGGCCTAGTGGCACTGTAAGGCTTAAAAAACTTCTTGAAAGAAAGGAAAGCATTCTTAGGAAATGGAGAGATGGTACGATTTTTTACGAACTATTTTTTTATTTCCAAATTGCTTTCAAGACATATTATTTTGCTACATTTTAAACAACGCGTTCGATTTTATAGAAAATTTTAACCTTTTCATAATACGAATGGCACGCATGTAGTTCTGTTATCATATGAAGTTAAATTTGAATTTACGTTATGGTGTGCGCGGAAGATACTAGATGGCAGCATTAACGTTCGCTGTGTAGCGATAAAGTTACGCGTGTTCTTTGCCGACTAACCCGGCTGTTGCAATATAACAGGGAATCGATGAGTCTAAATGACGTAAAATTTGTAGAAAAGATATGTTTCGATGATAATAATAAATATGAAGAAAGTAATGTTGGTACAAACTATGAAAAACTAAACTAGAATTCTGAATTTATAATAATATGTTATTCGCGAAATTAAACGAGACTTGTTCATTTAACTACAAATGCGTATATGTTCCTTCTGTACTCGTATCCTTTTCTTCTTCATCCTCAATTAACTCTTCAGTGTCGGTTATTACACACTCGCACGTGGTTTTCAGAATATAGGTGTAAAGTTTTTGTCTTATTACTTTCAATTCTCCACTAATTATTCCTCTGTCTATGAAATCTCCATCTTTTAACAGGATAATACAAACAATTATGGCGTTTGTAAGTTCTCTTTTAGCTGCTACTGTAACTAATGTCTGTTTATTAATGTAAATGAAGTGAAGAATCAAATGTGAATATTGTAAAAAATTTTACATAATCAAAATAAACTACCAAGAGTAACATAAAAAAGTTTTTCTAATTACATATACAAGAAAAAAAGATCTAGAATACCGAGACACGTAGTACTTAGGACTGTTGGTACACTTGTAAACCCAAATTCAAAACAACACACATTATCAATGTGTCTCGATACCTTGATGAAGTTAATTGCACTGTTGGCGAAACGTCGAAATTTAATAATCATCAGGCACAGCTCTAACGTGGAAGCCTCGAATAACAATATTTATGTTTAAGTAAATGTTAAAAGAAATTCGACTTTTGAAACCGTTAGGGTGGTACATATGTATATCCCTTAGGCTGCTTTCAGTGCGATGCAGGCGTCCACGCAAGCTGCTGCCAGAGCGATACATGCAGTCTACAAGCATCCCGGAATGCACTCATTGTTTCTTCAACAGTTGAAAAAGCAGGACTTAAATATGAGAACGCTTTCGATAAGAGCCTCGGAAACCTCTATTGGAAAAATCTTTTTTCACCTATGCAGACGCGCACATCGCACTGAAAGATCACACGAAAATCGTGTCCCGCAGGCTCATGCATGACCCAGCCCACCAACATATATGTACTCCCGTTCAGAAGTATTTGCAGGGCCGTACTTATACTTTTGGAGATCCTAGGCGCAACATCATTACGAGGCCTCAAAAGAAACAAGTCTAACTTAGTTAATCAAATTTATACACATTTTCTTCTAAATTCATTGAAAATAAAAGTCGACATTTCCATAATAACTCATTTTAATCAAATAAAAATAACACAACATTGGTGTACATATATGCATTAAAAAAAGGATAAGAATAAATCAGTTCAAATTTAAATTAAAAAAAATTAATAACTAAAAGTTGTTTTTATATTATGAATTTAATATTTAAAACTATGTGCAAGAAATTTTGCAACTATAACTAGACTGCTTTTTATATTGTTGTTTGTGAGGAGTAAGGTTTTAAAATATGTCCCCACAAAAAATGAGGTCCCAGCTTGCCTTTACAGTTTTGCCTTTGTGCGCAAAATAGCTTGAAAATACCGGTCGAGTATTTGTTCAAGCATATTGAAATTTTGTTTCATACACGCTAAAACAATAGCGTATAGGAAAAATATTATTCTCTTAATTAAACGTATTATGAATTTCATTTCGTTAAACGAGTAAATTGTCAAGTGTTTGAAGTATTAAAACAATGCACATGACTGTATTGCTTTCTCTTGTAATATTTTATACTGAACCATTTACTTTAATTTCGTATTGTTGAATTATAATTTAAATTCTCGTTGATTGAGATAGCGTACAATAGTAATCAACTACAAAAATAATGTTTATAGTAAATAACGAAACTATTAGAAATCATTAGTAATATAAAAAATAAAGTAGCAAATGTGAAAGCACTGCTACACTTATAAGCCAAACATAGTATACCTAATAAGGAACTAATATCGTTTTGGCTTTTTGAAAACATCTGACTTTTGGTATGCATCAAATATCCTTGTGTTGCATATGTATCCATTTTGTATCTCTTTATTTGTATATAAGTATATAAATAAGTACATGTAGGTACTTGTACTAAGTACTAAAATAAGTATATTCAGAATTTTATAAAACATGTGCAGTATGGCTTTCCCTTCTCAGTTGATTGCAACAGTTGCCCTAACTAATCGTGGGAAGTAAATAAGTACATTGAAAACCACGTTTTCATCAAAAATATTATCCTGTTCATTCGTTAGAAATTTGTGTTTATTCATTGGTCATTTGGTCCATGTTTCACTTTTAATAAAGGTTATAACTATCAAAAATTGCTAGATTTGTGTTCCGGAATGTATGACCTTTGTAATGAAACAGCTCACTTACGGTAACAGCATTTAGGGGATTAAATAACGACTTGCGAATACTAATTTTAACAGACCTGTAGCTTAAGTGTTCATTCACTGGACAAGTCATCCTATACATACTAGCTTAGCATATATAAGTTTGATAACAGCATTTTGTTACTTGTATTCTCAACATATTATAGCATTTATTAACCTCCGGATGGCGGATGTCGGGTCACTATTGACCCAGCATTTAGACGTGTCTTGTTTCAACCAGCATTCGAAACAGAGTCATGATTCTCCTCTCCTTACGTTATAAATATGTTTGCTATTTTAATCATAGTACATTTGTATAATTTTAAACAACACAATGCCTAGTAAAATTTTGAAGAATGTGGATTCTCTTGCGTACGAAAATGATTTTAGTCTTGGGTCATATTTGACCCGGCATCCGCTGTACGTACAACTACGTTAACCCAACCAAGGTAACTGAAACCTCTTCGGTAATTAAAACCAAATGGGATTCTGGTGTATTAAGGAGCACATCAAATAATAATAACTATACAATTTCTATGAATTATCGTTTACACTAAAAACGTTATAACTAATCTTGCAAAGGGGACCTCCAGACTAAGGTACTGCGAGATCCGGCACAGTATCGTTTTCTAACAAAGCTGTTTCAAGAGGAAATACATTGAAAATAAAGAAAAGCTATTATAACTTGTTTCAAGATATCCATCTTACGCGTTTCCTTTATCGGAAGAATGTTTCTTTATCGAGCAATTTCCGTCCTCGGCAGACCCTGATTTTCTTCACGTTTTACACGTACAACCATGCAAGTTAGATCGACGTCAATTGAGATTTACTTTGACCAAAATCACAACAGTTCGAACCTGAACGCTACGCTTGCACAAAGTTATTGCACAAGTTTTACTGTCCTTGAGAGAAGCTCTTAGATTTTGCCGTGGACGTGCTCAAGACTGTACGTGATAAACTAGGGTCACTTCGTTGCGTCTCTTTTAGGGGATCGATCATTCGCAAGTCGATCTTCAGTCTTGAAGTGAATGTATAGCGTTCTTTACAGCCCTGTATGGAAATTAGGGACTCGAACGGATTGTTTAACTTCTTGGTAAATTTACTTTCAAGAACACCCCCACGACGTAATTCTACTCTTGAAATTTCTCAAGTTCTCTCACACATTGAGATAAGTGTTCTCTGATACTATGCTACTCTTCGATACCAAGACTTTTTCTTTCGCTGTTCTTTTAATTGAAACAAGAAACTTAATGTTTAGTCAATGTATTATTTTAACAACGTGATTGTGCAATGCTTCGTGTTACGATTGTCATCAGAAATTAAGTTACCATATGAGCAGTGTTAAATAAGAGGAAATGAAATAATACTTCGATTATCTCTTACTGTAATATATTTATAAGGAATTCATAGTCCGAAGAAATTACACTCCATCTTCTTTATTTTTATAATTATAGAATTAATATTAAACTTACGGTAATAATGTCATTCAAGATAATATCTTACCGTGATACTCCATTATGCGACAGAAGAAAAAATGAACGTAATGCGTACTTATTTATTACCAGTGTCATCAAAATAAAAATTGAAACTGTTCAAATTATTCCTTTCATTCCTGACCTTATATGAACTTGCATGCCAATGTGTCACGCATGGTTGAATTCGCCTTGACAGTCGCTTTTATGTCATATAAAAAAATATATGGCATTAGATTTAAAAAATTAAAAATCACCTTCATTTTCCCAAAAATTTTGCAAATATGAAAAGTTCACTTGTGCTATTATGTGGGTTATAAAACACCGTAAAACTTTTTCCTCTATCATTTTTACTTTGTATTTACCATTTATAAGAAATACGCTAGCCAGTAATAACACAAACACCCTGTATATTTGTAACAGCACTGCGCACTGAGTGAAGTATTATATTTCATACAAAAATACGAAACAGAAAGGAAAGCGCGCATCTTGTTCATTAGCAATTGTATAAATATGTTGAGAACAGAACACAATACTAGGTCGTTCCATAAGTTCGTGTCGAATTTTATAATTTGGATCAATATTTTCAACAAACCTTTAAATTTGATTAAAAAAAAGAAAATGTAAGCACCTTCTCATTCCACAATTTTCTCCTATTTTTTTTTTTTTTTTGATAAGACCATTATGTCGTCGCTATAGCATTTCCTTGGATTTTCGTAAAAATATTTTTCGCTTTCGACACGAACTTATGGGATGACCTAATAAATAAAAAATAAAGAAAGAAAGTAATACTTAAACGTCACGAATATCGAGAAATTAATAAGTTTTCTTTATATTGTACTATTTGACTGTTCCAGGAGAATGATACGATACGGTTTCGCGTCACGCTAGAAGATGAAGTACCTGCAGGTCAGCAGCCTAACATCGTCGGCGTGGATACATACGTGATCGTTCTCGACGAAAACGATAATCCTCCGCGTTTTCTGAACGTACCATACGAAGGAGTGGCCGAGGAGGACCTTCCAGTTGGCTCGACAATTCTTCCGGGTATTAGAGTAATGGATCCTGATCTGTTGGGCGACACCATAGATCTAACCTGTGTCCCTCAGCCACAGGTGAGTCATTAATACTCGTTACGCCGTTAATATCCCACCGAGCACGTATTATTGGTAGACTCGCAGATCGAGTTTCCCCTTTCGCTTACTATTTCTTCTTGACGAAACTTAAACTTTATCATTGGACACTGAAAGAATTAATCAATTGGTACAATCTTCGCCATTATTTGTTAGACAGTTTATAAATGCAATGATTTGTGGCAATGACAATTGACCAAATATGATAAGTGGATGTAATAATTTGACGCAACTCTTAACAACTCTTATGCAACTTTAACAATTCAGATAACTCTTGAACAACTCGTACAGCGCTCTCTGCAACACACTAGTGTTTTATAGAGAATAAGAATGCATAAGAGTTGTTTTAGCGTTGCGAGTTGCGTCGAATTATTATTACATTTACTTATCATATTTGGTCAATTGTCGTTAACAAATACTTAACGGCAAAGATTGTACAAACTAATTAATTCTTTCTTTTACAGAGAAATCATCCCGATAAATTCTTTTTTCTTCCGCCTGAAGGGTAACGAAGAGTCACCTGGAGAAAGACTTCCTTACACTTACACATTAGATTTCATATAGTTATTACAGAGTATTTTCACATATCGAATCCATCGTGCAGGAAAGCTTTCAAAAAACCTGCAGCAGACGACACTGATCATCCCGATGAAACTCTCCCTTTTCTATACAAAATGTGCCAAGTAACTGGCGCCACGATTTTTCCAAGCACTTCCGATATTCTGACGAAAAAATGTTTTAAACAAAAGTTAATCAACTTTCGATCGGCTACAAATTGCGGTATAAGAAATTTCTACAAAATGGTTATTTTAATAAAAAATCAAAGTCACCTTGACACCTTTGCGTGAAAATCTCTTAGGCAAGGTGTTGAAGATAGATTGTTTTCGTATATGATTTGTTAGATCCCTGTTCTCAGTTCGTGAAAGCGATTATTTAACAGATAAAGGTAAACAGTTATTCACCAATACAGAATTTATTTGTAACAATAACGATTAAATGATAATTATTTCGATGCGCCAGGTTAAGCGCAAAGTCTAAAGTTTGCAAGTACAAAGTCTAAAAATTTATATTGTGATATAGAATCCTTAAGTCTGTTTTTTCTAGTTTTTTAAAAATCTTTTCTAAAAATCCCCCTTTAAAGAATTGTTAGGGCTTGCGGTTGATCTTTCGATCGTTCAAGCGTTGCCGGTTTTTGCACGTGTGTGCCGACTGATGTTCTAAGGCTACGAAGGACCAGTTTCTTGATTGAAACACTAAGTTTTTATTTTATGTTCTATTTTCTACGACTAATTCAAGATATAAATTCTACTGCGAAGTGAGAGGTGTTTCTCTTGCGAGTGGCCAAGTGTTTCTGCTGGAGTCTCTGCGGTTTCCCTCGACGAAGACTCCTATTTTCCTAAAAACACCCTGATTGATGATTTTTCCTTTTCTAAATCACCGATCAGTTTACTCCGGTGCATCGCAACCTCCCTCCATTTCGCCCTTAGCGCGTTATCGCTTTTCTAGGCTTTGTTAAAGTCAAGTGGCCCATCGACGTTGGCAAAAGTCGTGGGACACTTTTCTATTTTCCGTTCGGAGACTCCAGGATTTATGGCAGGGTCTGGTCCTAGGGACTAGGTGTCGCAGGCAACGCAATAAACACTTGTGGTGTTTTGAGAAAGCGATATTTGCCTGCGACGACGACCACTTGACTCGCTGCCATAAATCCGGCTACAGGATACGCCTTAACAAGAATCTTCTGTTATTCTAACTGTTCTGTCCTTATACAAGGTAGGCCATGTGAAACAGGCAACCTAATTGTCTTCTCTAGCTATGGTACAGGCAATTTTTATAGGTAGTGTGAGATTTTGTTGATTACCTTTTATTCAATGAATTAAAAGTACCCCACGTGTCGCCGGTGCTGTTCGCTATTATTGTTTTTTATTTGTAACAAGAAATTGTAATTCGCTCTCTCGATGCTCACGGTTCTCGCTGGTCAATCACACACGCTTCCACACTCTTCTTCTTTTTTCTCGAACACACATATCCACAAACACATTCACACACTCGCTCCATTTCACTGGAAAAAGACGAGACGTCGCAATCGGCTTGGCAAAACCCATGTTAATCGCCTAAATATAAACAAACGCGCCACGCACGATGGTCTTTCATTCGTTCTTCCTTTCCACGTCATTCACACCAACTCCTCTCCATCTCTCCCCACAGTCACTCTTTCATACCAAAAACCCCACAGTAATTTAAATAGTTTCAAGGCTGAATAAGATGGAAGAAAACTTTTTTGATGAAAGAAATGGCAAAAAATGGAAGGAAGTTTCACATTTGAATAAAAATTTTAAGGTCATATTATTATACATGTTTAAATGCTCATCAATGTCTGCTACAACATACAGTAGAAGAAAATATATACATTGGTGCGAAAAACATCGCTGATCTTGAAAAAAAACCACAGAAAAAATGGCATTTATAAAAAAAAAGTTTTCTTCCATCTTATTCACCCTTTAAAACCACTTATATGACATATACAAATTTTCTCATATTTCTCTAGCTAGAGAACATGATTAGGTGGCCTGTTTCACGTGTTCCACTCTCTATTTTAAAATTTTCTTCAATTTCTCTATCTCAAATGAATCCTAGTTGTTTAAAAAAAAAGGTTGCTAGCACTCTGTATGCTGCCATTCATCATTTTATAAATATGTTAAATACTCTTTTAATTAAGACTTTCAAGTTCGTCATATAGTATACTGCTGTCCTATTTTCGAAGAAAAATGTATTTAAAAAATACTCTCTTTTCGAAGTCAATACTTCATTAGTCGTTAGTTAACTAATTGGCTGTAATTCGATTGTCAATAAGTTTAGATTTCCGACATCATTTTAGAAGCCATCGGGATTTACGCAATTTCTCTTTATTAGTCAACATTAAATTAATTAGTGAACAGCTACAGCATTAACGTCCCGTTAAACTAATGAGCAATTGAACTGAGATAGCAGTCACGAGAGAGAGATAATTAATGATTAATATATCCACTTTCACCGTTATTAAATAAACATGCCTACTATTAAATGAATATCTTATCAATTAATTTAAACATTTTAAATTAATTAACATTCACTCGCAAAAAGTAGAAGGTTTAGTGAATTTAACATTTCCAAACGAAGTTTGTTGAATAATTTGCTATTACGCTTCGCACAATTATGTTGTATTTAATAATTTAAAAATAAAGCAAATTTCTTTAATTCTGAAAAAGCATCGATCAACGTTTATGTCTGTTAATCTAGCAGTTTGTACAAATATATACAACAATTCAAAGAGTATCTTTTTCCTCAATTTCATTTTTTCTCATTAACGTTTCATTTCAAAAATGAAAGACAGTGACTAATTTTTATTGGCGGTGCTATATCCTGCACACACTACTTTTCATATTTCACAGTGGTGTACAATTGACTGCCCCAATTGTTTCAATGCAAATTTTAACAGCACGTATAGGCATCGCTCCATCGAGAAACTCAAAACCGAATTTGCATATATGGTTATTTCATTCCCCGCAACGAACCGAATAAAGCCACTGTAAACCACGTAAAACAGGGGCGGGCTGCTAGATTGACTGTGCGAATGAACTTTCTATTTGATAAAAGTTTCAATAGAACACGAGGTGTAACAATAAAGTTTCGAGAGCAATTCATTTGAATATCTTACTTTGAAAATTAAATGTAAGAGCCGAATGTATTAGTCGGTCAATGTCATTTCTCCTCTCTCTAGCATTTCGGTTCCACATTTACCGTTCAGCAATTAACAGGTGCCTCGCAGAATCTTTTCACCTTATTAGTAAAAAAAGAAGTCGTAAAACCGAGAAATATAGTTAAATGCACGTGCACTCGATGAATGTTTCAATTCAATTTTCTCGAAAACTAAGCATTTTGTGGAGAAATTTTATTCTATATTTTCGATTTGTTCTTTTATGTAGTATCGCCCTTTTCACGGTTTTGTCGCCAGTTGCGGAACACCCTGTGTGTTACTGGTTTTAGTTATTCGATTTTCAGATGCAACGTTATCTGTTTAGACACAGAAAGTTTTGTCAGATGTAGATGAATGATAACGAAATGTAGATGAAGTGTAGAAATGACTGTGCACTTGGGCGAATATAAATGCAACGTCGTAAATATATACACTACCGGCCAAAAGTTTCGAATCACCTGCTAATTTACGGTAAAATTGAATCCGCGGCTAATTTTTTTATAGATTTGAAATTGATGTCGCAGAGATCGATAGTATTTTATCTTACTTTGATTGATTTGAACGAGGAAAAATTGGTTACAATATTCTTAAAATTGCTAACTTTATTCTGGAAATTTTTGTATAACTTGTAATGCACAGTGTTTCCAAACATTCGGCCGGTAGTGCATGTATGTATTTCGTTAACAAAAATAACTGACCATTTGTGTCGGTATATTTTTATTTAGTACGAAGGAACGTGTATATGCGCTTGTAATTAAGATGGACAACAAAGTGTAAATTTCATTCATTTCTAAAAATTTCACAGTATTTTCTTACTTTTTTTTTTTTTAATTTTGTCGTATCACGCAATGTCGTGCGAGATCTTATTAATACGATAAAATGAGAATTAACAATGAATTTACGTAGATGTTATCCTTCTAATTTAGATCAATATCATTTTAATACTTTATGTCGAGTATAAATTATGGAATTTTTAATTTTCGTGACGTTCTAATTATCTTTTAATACAATCGTGAAAAGTGAAATTAAGAACGCAGGTGAAAATATTAGAGCATGCTTCGTAAAATTCTGTTATGTTAACAATGTTCTCAGTTTGATCGATATTCAAACGCATACACAAATCTGACTACGGAAATTCATAATAATTATATTAAATATAGCTATCGGTAGAAAGTCCTGCCAAAAACCTTCTTAAAAATATTGATATTAATGCAACATGACGTAATAATTTTCAGTACTTTATTTATAT